TTTCAGTATTATAAATTTATCGCTATATTTCACTGTAGCAATATATCGTGCTTCAAAATTTGTTATTGTGACAAAACTATTTTTCAGATAATGATATTTTTCCAAGATTTTCTGAATTAATTCTTCTAACAAATACTAGATCTAAAATGCTCTCTTTTGCATAATACATCATATGGTTCATTTTTCTTAGTGAAACAATACTATTCCAACTCAACATTTGTGCTCACATGTGGATACTTTATCACCAGGGCCTCTGAGAATCTGCTTGACAGAAGGCCTCTGAACTGTGACTTCAAAAGAGACTGTTACGCTTTCTTATCAGCTACTTATCACAAAGTCATACCTCTCCCATCCCCGCGGAAGAGACGGCACTGCGCAGATACATGGTGAGAACGATGGTGAGGAGAGAAAGAGAGAGAAATGTCAAACTGTCTGGCCTTTTTCTGCCGATCCCAACCTCACTGCCTGTCGGGAAATACATCTTCACTCATGGTTTGACTATCTGTCTCCACTCACATTTCCTCCTCTCAATCGCCTCGGTTAGTCACATTGTAAAGACACATTCTAATGGAGCTGTACAATAGAGCTGAGTGTATGACATGATGAACAAGGACAGTCTGAGGTCAGTTTGATGTCACACAAGTACTACATTATAGTGTATATACAATATACATATGTGTCTTACTGGTGCATGTTGTGATTGTGACCATTAAAGAATCCATTATGATAAAAATGCAACAGTACAATTTTAAAGGATGGCTTGTGTCTATTTCAGAAAACTGTAGATGAGTCGAGCTTTTGACTGGGTCAGTAGAGATGTCAAGATTATTTGATTAATGGATAAATTTGTGAATTTCCAGGTAACTGTAATTAAATACATATCTGTAATAATTATAATATAATAATCATATCAATTCTCACTTGTCTAATCCACCTGTCAATCACCCCTATTTGAAAACTGGAGGATTCACCAGTGACCAGGCTCACATCTTTGTAAAGTCCTGAGGAAGTCTGTCTTCTGGATCCCAGGCAAGCGAGAAAGTACTTCACCATAACCACTTTTTATATTGAGTTTCATTTTAAAAAATCTGTCCACAATGTGAAGGAAAGAAAATGACATACATCACGGTTTAGTAATTGTATTAAAAATCATTATATCTGTAAAATCCTGATGTGGTCCACAAATATACACTAGCACCCAAAGGGAACCTACAGTAGCACAACAAAACCAGAATAACATTTGGCAAAGTGTAGTCTCCTAACTTTGCTGCTGAGGTGTAAGTTTATGTAGCACTGTCATTGCATACTGTTGTGTCCTATAACTGTATTGAGTCCTGCTGAGAGTAGTGTAAACAAATGATGCAATGTGAAATGTACAAAAAGCTCAGCAGTGTGTCCCATACATAGACCAATCTGTAGCACAAAATGAAAACCAAGCACCACAAACTGATTCCGCCTCTTTTTGTTCAACGCAATTCTGTCATTCTAGCTCACAGAGACAGAGAGAGAGAGATAGAGAGAGAGAGAGAGAGAGAGAGACACAGAGACAGAGAGACACAGATACAGACAGAGAGAGAGAGAGAGAGAGAGAGAGAGACATAGACACAGAGAGACAGAGAGAGACACAGATACAGACAGAGAGAGAGAGAGAGAGAGAGAGAGAGAGACATAGACACAGAGACAGAGAGACACAGATACAGACAGAGAGAGAGAGAGAGAGAGAGAGAGAGACATAGACACAGAGACAGAGAGACACAGATACAGACAGAGAGAGAGAGAGAGAGAGAGAGAGAGAGACATAGACACAGAGACAGAGAGACACAGATACAGACAGAGAGAGAGAGAGAGAGAGAGAGAGAGAGAGAGAGAGAGAGAGAGACACAGAGACAGAGAGACACAGATACAGACAGAGAGAGAGAGAGAGAGAGACATAGACACAGAGACAGAGAGACACAGATACAGACAGAGAGAGAGAGATAGAGAGACACACAAAGAGAGAGAGAGAAACAAGAGAGAGAGAGAAACAGGAGAGAGAGAGAAAGAGACAGAGGCAGAGAGACAGACAGAGAGAGACAGAGAGAGAGAAAGAGGAGAGAGAGAGACAGAGACACAGAGACAGAGAGAGAGAGAGAGACAGAGAGAGAGAGACAGAGAGAGAGAGAGAGAGACAGAGAGAGAGAGACAGAGAGAGAGAGAGAGAGAGAAGACAGAGACACAGAGAGAGAGAGAGAGACAGAGAGAGAGAGAGACAGAGACACAGAGACAGACAGATACAGACAGAGAGAGAGAGCTATATATATAGAGAGAGAGACACACACAGAGAGAGAGAGAAACAAGAGAGAGAGAGAAACAGGAGAGAGAGAGAAAGAGACAGAGAGAGGCAGAGAGAGAGAGACAGACAGACAGACAGAGAGAGAGACAGAGAGAGAGACAGAGAGAGACAGACAGAGAGAGAGAGACAGAGAGAGAGAGAAAGAGAAGAGAGAGAGACAGAGACAGAAAGAGGAGAGAGAGACAGAGAGAGAGAGAAAGAGACAGAGAGAGAGAGACAGAGAGAGAGAGAGAGACAGAGAGCGAGAGACAGAGAGAGACAGAGACAGAGAGACAGAGAGACAGAGAGAGAGAGAGAGAGCACTTGATTTATTTTTCTGAAAGCCACGTAAAAAGATGTTCTGATGAGGCATGCATATGCACCAGATAAGCTAATGCTGTTTCATTATTTCATTTAGGTGCCTTGTACCTTTAGTAGTTTCTTATGTCTAATTATAGTATTTTATTTATGTAATTTGTATTATTATATAACTGTTACAAAATATGATTTATTTTGTTTAACCCCCAAAAAAGTTAAATACAAGAACAAGTTAATATTGATTGAACTAGGTCTTGAGTTAAGTATTTGAAATAAAAAAAATATTTTTCTAATTCATTCCTTGAATGTTTTGGCAAGTAATTCTCAACATGAAACTTAAAATACAGGTCTTCCTATAACATAATTTGAATGTGGGGGGCACACAATGCTACTTGGTCTGTAGGAAACACTGCTCAGTATTGATACGTTACAGTGACATCGTGCTGGGGGTGTTCTGAATGTATCTCTATTGGCAGAATGTTCAACAGTTACCATGGTGACACAAAGCACACATCAGGAAAAATGGTCAAAATGTTTTAATATAGTCTGAAAATAAAAAAAATATATAGATAAAATTTATAAACAGCACATTTTCAGGAGCCAATGATCCATACAAGTGTTCCTGCTCCTGGTTAGTTGTTTGATTTTCAACAAAAAAGTGAGAGTGACTAACTGTAGTAAAAACTGTTGGCTGATGCTAGCTAACTTGTGACAGTAACTTTACGTGTCGGAGGCTTGTTTAATTGCACACTTGAGTAACACAGTAAATTATCAATAGCCCAATGCATTATTATGCTTTACATTCTGTCTACTAACCCTTCCACTTGCTAAACACCAATCTACAAGCTTTTGTCATGTGTTCGCCAGACCACTTTCCTTTCTGTGTTACAGCCATTATCAGGGCCTGTCCACTTATCTGCTATCAGCCTATCAGAGCCCTCCGTGACTGTGGCTCTCCAGCCTGTGACACCCGATGACAGCTCAATAGGATCCTGGAGCGCGCATATCTCCACTGTCATATTCTTATCAGAGGAGCTGCCATGTTGTTTCTGGTCACTTCCTGCTCACAGCTTTGAATGTGTGGAAGTCTTATCAGCCCAAGCATTCAGACCACATCCCGGGCCTTTCTATTGGGGATTATCAAGAACAAGCGTAGAGCAGTTTGAATCATTTTATTTGCAGATAACAAAACTAGTGGGGCAGAATAAAAGCGCTATCGCTATTGGTTAATCAGTTTATTATTAAATTCTGCATTGGCGTGGGAATGAGGCTGAAGAGATAAGGGCGATAGCAAAGCCTTATGAACTTATTCTACGTGTATAACGGAACCAACTATAAGGAAGGGTTTTAAATCAATCATATACAATAGGTTAACAGTTGTATGGCTGTACTTATCTATTATCAATCTTGTAGTCATGCTTTAGCCAAATGTGACCTATTTACTAAACCTTTTCGATGTTGGATGTCTGTTGTTATAAGTGATTAACTATAAATTATGTTCTCCATCAGGAATTAAACGTTTTTTGAATTAGTAGTACTGGCTATAGTCAAAATATTTTGTTAGTTCTGATCTTCTGTCTAAAATCATGAAAAATTACTATTGTGCACTGAAGAGTAGCAAGATCAGTTGGACGATATAAGAGGCTGATATTTGTAAATTTTAGCATACTTCCTATCGGCCTTACAGTAAATCTCTAGTACAGGCTGACAGTTTGATGCCGACCGGCTGCATATAAAAATGCACAAGCTTTAGTCAAACAGTTTAGTGTGAAGAGGTAACTACACAAAATGTGACCACACTGCTTTCTCAATAGGTTGGTGGTAAAAAAGAACTGTGGGTAAGTCTTCAGTAAATTTAAATAACAGAATTACAAGATTTGGGGGACCATTATCAAAAATAAGCTCTACATACTGGCCAAAAAATAAAGCGTATTGGCCTAAAGATAAAGCTTACTCACCATTGGTTTCTCTGGATTCGAAACTATCAGTATAGCAGTATCGGCAAAACAACTCAAAACCGCAAAAATCTCAACTTAAGACTGTGCAGTACAATTGGGCACTGATTGAACATGTCACGTTTAATACCAATGAAATCTCTTGAAAGTGTCAATCAACTGAAACAACTGAAACATTATTGGTAAATATGTCACCTCAGATAATATTAAGAAATGTCACGTCAAACTATTGTCTCTTTCAAGTCAAATATGAAGAAAATGTCTGGTGCTGTTTTTGTTTGGTACTGAACATCTTCTCTGTCATGTCCGTATGACCAATTAGAGCTGGAGGTGTATTCTCTGACAGTGATACGTGACAGCAGAAGGCACAACAGAGAAAGAGGAAGGTGATGGGTATAGAATGGTGAAAGTCTTACATGCTTTTCTCCTTCGATCCTCTTGTCGGCCTGTTGAACAGCCTCCAGGTATTTAAAGTACAGCTCCATTAGCCGATCAACCTGCAGGGAGAGTGAGTGAGTCAGAGTAAGGGACAGAATGGAAAACTGAGCACTAACAGTTGAGTAAAATGTGTGTTATCATGGCACATTAATATGAGCCTACTATATCGTCATCATTTATTTGTCGTTTAAACCTGGAGACAGCATCTGACCCAAAAAGGAGTAGTGCCTCTACTATTCTACAAAAATTTAGGACATTCAATACCAGTGTACTAAAAAGACCGGATGGGGGATGTAAGAAGCAGTAACATGAACTGCAGCCTCCACATTAACAAAAGTCTGTCAGATGGCCTTAAGCAAATATGAGAGGAAGTTCATGTGTATGCCAGAAGTAGGTAATTAGAAGAATAAAACAATAGAGAAACTACAGAGAGTACAGTGATTACAGAGGTTTGATACTTCTTTATGAAGCTGAGAGATGTCAGAGGAGATTGACATAGTAATAGTATAGTAATGTGATAAATAGGCAGTGATGATAAGGTGTGAGCCCACACAGTGAACCTGCTGCGTATACACAAGAAAGTGAGTAAGGGTAGAGCTAAAGTGGACAGTAGCTGACATACAGACAGAGGACATACAGTCCTGTGAAAAAGGTTGCGCTCATTAACAAATCGACCTAAATTATTCAGGTACACTTACATACACAGATCCCTTTGATAAAGAAAATCACAATATTTGGAGTTTGGAAAGCCATTTTAAACTTTTACTACATCAAAGTGAAAAACATTATCCAAAAATTGTGAGGGTAGTATTGAATTCAAAGTGTATTCATTTAATACCTTTAGTTTTAAGTATTTACTTTCAGTGCTTTATTTCAGTCATTACATTTTAACGCAAATAAACTCCTGGAATTCTTACCCTTGCCCTCATAAACCGTTAAGAAAATAATTTTCACAAGCAGCGTTTAAGAAAAACATTTTCATTAGCAACCTGTTTCACAAATAGGTTCATTATGAAAGGTTCATTCATATTATCTTCAATAGCGATTTTGCCATAAATAGAATAGAATGAATTTAAACCATAAAAGATACAGGAACAGATACAAACCTTCTCACAGTCATTCTCAGTGAACTTGGTGAGTAGCCTGCTTCTCTGTTGAGACTTGAGGTTCCGCAACATGGAGGCGATGATGGAGCACACATGCTCTGTGGAAAAACAAACAAAAAGCAAGCTTCAATTTCAGATCCAAAAACATTAGTCAGGCTTTGGGCACAAGTGGAATTGTTCATACAAGTCCACCGCTCTGTGAAAGAACAGATCGATTAGCACTGGAACATTTGTAATTACAGCACGCAGGCTCCAGATCCTTTACAGTCACTGCACACAACAAACCAGAGACAAACTAATGAAATTTAGAAATCAATTACATTTTAAGTGCTGCAGCTAAATGTGTAAATAAATATGTACGCCATGGTGACATTTCTGTAGGAGATTGGCTCTAGCTGCACTGGTGGAGTTCGTGAGGAGAAGCATTAATTATCTATGTTAGGAACAGGAGCCAGCCATCTGCATCCAGTGATCAGTCCTTGTTAAACCTTGTGCAAAATAAAACAATGTCAAAAATTACAGAAAAAAGAAGCTTATTTGTAAAAATAAAAAATAATAGTAGATCAAAAAAATCATAATAATTAAAATGAAGTAAACCATCATTAGTAATGTTTTAATCTGATAGACCTTAGCGTTAACGTGAAAATGAGCTCACAGCAGTGGAACTATTAATGACAAAACATGTTAGTCAAGGCCAAACTGTGTTTTAATGTGAGCAGAATAACAGCTGCTACAACTGAATAGTCCCCCTCGTATTGTCTTGTGAGAACAAGGCTCTCCATTTTCATCGAGGTAACCTTGTTAAACCTTTTCTGCCCGAGTGAAATTCATAGTCCCCTCTCAATAGCACAAGGCCACTGTAAAGTCTAATATTTATTTTTTGGTGATTCAGATGAGACAATGGACTGTACACAGAGGAAGCACAATATGACATTGTAAAATCTCAGGATAGACACAGTCAGGGAAAATGTAATTGGGCTTTATCAACAACAGGTCAATATTCTCTCTCAACAAGGCTTTGCAGTTGCTAGGCAACAGGCATAGAGGAATCAATCCCATTTCTGCTTTTTAAAAGGGGTCGTGTTTGCTGTCAGCTGCTTTTGTGTGCTCCCATACGACCCTCAGAGTCCTTCCTCAGCACTCGAGAGCAAAAGGAATCGAAGCTAAAGCACCTGCTAAACCTGCACACACTCTGCAAACACACATCACACAATAAAAGGTATCAAACACACACCACACAATAAAAGATATCATTCTGAGAGCAAACATGTACAGCAAGACGAGACGGGACCCTGAGACGCCAATAAAGCATGTAAGAAGAAGAGCCACAGTCTGAAAATATTGGACTGTTTAATCATCAAAGCGCCTCAGGCAGATGAGGCCCTCTATCAGTGTATGTTTCAGAATATGGTAAATGGTCATGGTCACATTTTTATATAGCGCTTTTCCACCTTTAAGGCACTCAAAGAGCTTTACAACAAGGAACCACTCACCCATTCACACACCCCTTCATACACCAGTGTACGCAGACAGTGGGGGCAAGGTAGGTCAAGTGTCTTGTCCAAGGACACAACGACAGGATTCACCTGTGAGAGCTGGAATGGCACCGCCAGCCTGTGGGTCAGGCAATCCGACCACTCCACCGATGATGTTAATGTCGAAAGCAGGATTACAGTACCAGCATCTTCTCAGTCAATACGCAGCATATCAAATATTTCCTGTGCTGGACCATTCCAAAATTCCTTGTGAACCACAGTATTTCCCATGCACTTTGACACCAGGCTAACCGCCATTTCCGAGAGGATGCTACTTTATCATCCTCATCGGGCAGTAATTGATGTCACCACCTCACTGGTCTGTCGGGGGCTATTGATCTGGTGGGACTGTTCTGTCCACGGAGCTGAAAATGGAACAGTATCTGCTCCAGCCACATTTGTGACGCTGGACTATAGAGCGTTTATCAGCACAAAATGAAGAGACAGCGCCAAATGTTGTTACATTCCTTAGAAACACGTATGACCTTCAGAACTTAATAAAAGAAAAGATACTATATGGGTATTGATTTTACTGTAATCTCACTCGAGATATCATTGCTCAAATCATTGATTCAGGTTTACTACTTGAGTTTGTGACTATTATCATAAATCCAGCATAATGCAAGGCCACTCTTCACAAGCCACTATATATTTCAGACATAATAGTTCTATATTTAACAGTATAGCCCAAAATCGCCACTCACAAATACCTTGCCCTATGAGTGAATAATATTATAGACCAATACTAGAATCACAGAAGCAAAAGTAAGATTGAGCGATATTGCCTAATTTTTATTTTTTATTTTTTGTAAAATCCCTCAGTTTTCCAGGTAGATCCGTGGCAAAGGAGAAATTAATTTCTGTCAACTGGACAAAAGTTTAGTCCAGTTGACAAAACTGAATTTCTCCTTTGCTATGTTTTTTTTTTTTTACAAAATTGAATTTTCTAAACAATTTTATACTTTCCCCCCTTTCCACTATAACTGTTCTGCAAACTACTTAAAATTGTCAAAACTAAAAACAAAATTATTCAATGTATTCTAAAACAAACTATTGCATTAAACATGCAGCCCCAACATTTGATTAGAAGTTACTGATTTTAAAGCAGTCAGTGCTGCATGGCCCTGTGCTGAATTTTGGTCACTGTATGACCGCAGTGAGCAGCCTTTCATGTATTTACAATGCCATTTCCAATGCAAATTCCAATGCCAATGGAATACAAATTGATATGAACTTCAAATATCAATTGAATTTTTTGCACAGCCCCTAAGCTAAACCATTAATGTTTATAAGAAAGCTGCAAGTTAGCATGTAAGTCAAATAGAAAACACTGAGCACAGCACTTAGAACCAGGCAAAACATGGGCTAGCTCTAAGGCAAATGTGCAGTTTCTGTACATCATGTTTTAACAAGGTTCAACACTACCATTACACCAGGGCCACTCTCATCTGCACAGCCTTTAGGATTCAGCTAACTGTGTACAAATGTTAGCCTTCAATCACCCGCTATCATCGACCGTTTGCCTCGTCTCTGCCTCGAGGGGATCCATAGAACCCAGTTAACATGCAAATGACCGGCCTGGGATATTGACAGCTGAAGGAAGCAGAGGAACAGTAGGTAGAGGAGAGAGTGACAGATAGGCCCTCTGTGAGCAATCAGTAGCAAAGACATCTACGAATGTGAGAGACAGAAATGTCACTGAATTATAAGCATGTATTAATGCTAATTATTTCATGTTTTTAGAATAACTTAAATAAGACCTCCAGTGTGTAGAGCAAGGCAGGCCATACCGTCCATCTCAAGCTCATACAGGTACATTGGCACACCTGGAATTGAAATAATTCTAGTTCAGGAGGTAAAGCTCTGCTCATACTAGACATGAAAAAGGTTTATTATTTTGTTAATCTGCGCCAAATATAAAAAAACAAACTTCAAATGGCAGTTCAGTTTCAAATGGCAATTTCTGTGTCTTATAAATGAGTCAAAATTATTTAAACTATTATTCATTATTGCACTTAATGTAATATGTCATACATGTTAGATCAGCTAATAATTTCAGGAATTAAGCACTCAATTAAATGCTCTGAAATGTTCAACTTGTTTTTTCACTAGTGCATCCTTGTTTGTCTTCAACCACTGCAATATTAAACATTGTGTATAAAATCCTCTCCATACATCAGAAGGCCTGCAGCATATTTCATTAGAGCCTGTGTTTACAGAGAACAGAACATGATCAATCCCTGGCAAAGGGAGACGCCAAACGTGAACACCATGTTAATTAGATGCTTCTTTACAGAAGGATCTCACAGCAAATCTCTGCCTCCAAAAATGCACCAATAATGGGATTATGCAGCATGACTCTGACAATGTAGATCCAAATCAAACCTGACTCTTGTAAAATGTTACAGATCTTGAATTGTGCCACTGGGGTTACAAGCTTTGATCAAATGTTTTTTATATGTTTTTTGCCCTCAGCTCAGACATGGGCATAATGTTACATTCTTGTTAAGGTACTGGTGGTTTTCATGTGATGATGTCATTCTCGCAAATGGGGGCAGGAGACAGTTTTTCCTATTGTGCTTACATTGTACTTTCCCATGAAATATCTAAGACGTGAATTCACAAAAGTTTAACTAAATAATTTCTTTAAGTGACTAGACCTATTAACTTCTTAAATTTTACCAATAAGCTGCTTTTTCACAATATTCAATTTAGCTGATCCCCATCTATATTAAAGGTGTACTATTGGTAACTTTTTGGCTGCTGATGTTGTCAGTATTGTATGTTATTGCAACTTGTAATATAGTGGCAGTGGTGGTTCAGAGGGACAGATACACAGATTTAGACTATACAGAGGTATACAATAAGTGCTTGTCTGGTACCCAATATCAAGATTGTGCAGGACAACATATGTGTGATATTAAACTGACTGTAGCACTTTCAGATTTGTTTTTCAAATGTAAAGTGCAATATAAATAAACTCTATTATTACTACTATTATTATTATTATTATAACACAGTCGCCATTAGTGCTGCAGGGTTTGACCCATGGGGCAGCCTTTGATCAAACACAAGAATGTGGTTTGATTTGGTTTTTCCAGCTCAGATATGGACATAACATTTCATCATTAATTTCAGATAAGTACTCTTCTCAAATGCTTCACTCATTTCACGCTCTGTGGTCACGCTTTGTAACTGTCTATTAAATCTTATCTGAGAAAGGCGGGGAGAACGTAATGAAAGAGGTAAAATGAAAAAGTAAATCAAAGCTCTTAATAAAATGAGATCTTGCATCATAAATGATGGATCTGGAGTGTAAAATAATCTCAAATGTATCTATTAACAAAATAGTTTTATGAAATCTTGCAAAGTTCATTCCACTTTTCCTTTCTTCATTTAGAAGAACAGTTGCCTGGCACATTCATAATGACCTTTCTATATTTGTTATAGAGGATCAAACATGATGTGATGCAATCAGATTTTTATTAATTTTTTTTCCAGTGAGGCATGTAAAACAAAAACAACACCTATAGTTTAGTGCTTCACTTACTGATGTTTTTATAGTCACCTGTGATATATTTTCCTGTCTTCTGTCATTCTGTCATGGCCACGTGAACTCGGGGAGATTCATCAGTGACCAGATTTGCATTTTTTTGCATTAAGTACTGGGGAAGTTGAGATTCTTGTAGTACTGTATAATGAATCTCTTCCTGCATTCACTAGTAAAGAACTCACCTGCATTGTTGGCCTACACCATCCAAAAAAGTACAATAAAACTGCAAACTACTCTTAAAAGTACTGCGTGTAACGTGAGAGCATATGGCACCACTGCCATGCAAGATGTGTCTTAAAAGGGTTTCAAACATACCACTAGAGACCAATGCAGTATTTTCTGAGGCTACTTCAGCCTCCATTTCGCTTTTGCAAGTCTAATTTCCCCCTTTAGGCAAAAACACAAAGTTCCAGCAGCACTACAAGGCTCTGAGCAGAATTTCAAGGTTTAGCATTCATCCTTGATAAGGCCAAGCACTACACCCAGGGCTGTTAGTGAGTGTAGCGCTAAAATAAACAGGAAAGACTCCATGTTTGATCCCTGTGCAGCCCCTGTGCCCGGTCTCACTAAACAAACAAACACTGCACACTTATGAAGGAGGTAGGGCACGTGACTACCGCTTTGCCTTGTAATGAGATGTTTTCTTCTGCTCTCTCCTGCATCATTAACTTCCTAAATATACCCACCAACAACTGCAACCAGTGTCTTTTTATCAATCATGCACATTTTGGTATGAGCAGGGACCAATATTGTAAGGTGATTTGGATTTAGGGGTGGGCAATACTGACAGAAATAAATGGTAAAATATTTTTTGCATGGGGCAAAACTTGTTTGGAAGATTACACTGCAAGATTCATTAATTTTTTTTTTTGTAATTCAAATCAGCTATTTTTTGCTTTTTATTTTAATTTTAATTTTTCTTAGTGTTGTTGGCACTAAAAAAAGGATGTAATGAGACAGTTCACCAGCTAATGTTGGCCCAGACGGTCTCATATTACACTTTTAATTTTACTAAACTGTCCTGCAAACAGAATAAATAACAGTTACAAAACACATTTGGATTATTTTTTACCATACAATGTTTCTGTTTAAAGAAAATTTATTATATTTTCAGTCTCTGCACTAGTATTGGTTGAAAACTGGTATTGGCAGATGCATAAAGCCAAAGTATTTTTTCTCTGGTGAGCTACCTGTACAAATGAAAATGCCAGAGCTACTCGTTATAAGAAATTGAGTATATACAAGAGCCATGGCAAGCCTTAGATGAGGTACAGTTAGATCCCTATAAAACAAAAACTATTAATTAGTGCACAAAGTTAGGAATTAAAATGATACACGTACAATGATAAAAGGCATTTAATTAATCAGATTTTACTTATTCAACAAAATAGGTGTAATTCAAAAATCCCGAGCGACAGGTTGGAGACCCCTGGCCTAGATATATTTGGGTATTACTACTAATACTGCAAAATGAACATGCAGAAAAGAGACTGTTGAAACCATGTGCAACCACTTTCAGTATATGAAATGTGTAGATCAAATGAAGATACTGCAGATTATCATGAAGTGTTACACAACAAGAGGAATGTACTGAGAGAATCTGGCATAAATCTAAAACAATAACAAATTCTCTTCCCTGGCCAGCCAGAACTACAAGCTTTGACAAAACTTTATAAAAACGAGTGGATCTGGAGCCATATAGTGTCTCCCGGATTGCAAAAGGTGTGATTGACAGGTGGATTAAGCAATCAGAGAGATGCATGGTCTGTTCGTGCCAAAAACAAACATGACTGTTTACAGGTAAAAAAGGGGAAAAACAACACGAAGGACTGAGAAACTATTTACTTACCTCAGGTAAAAGAAGTTCTATATTTTTTTCTGAAGGAGATGTATTTCAGAGAAACGTGATACAAATTAGCAGATGTGGTTGGATCATCTCATGTTTGGACAGAGGTTTTTCACGCTCTATGGTCCAATCCCAGACCTTTCTGGATTCAAACAGAATGTTGAAGGGACAAGCGATTTTTAATTTTGTATCAGTTATCAGTATCACCAATTGAAGTAGCAAAGTATCCAGCAGAATATTCAGCAGATGATAATATGCAAAGGTGCATTAGATCCACTTACTTATGCCCACTGCAAATGTCTCTATTAGTTAGATGGGGGTTTGAATGCTAATGTCCTCTGGCAATTCCGGCCTATTTGTGCTGCATCAGTTACAGAAAGGATTTAGAAGACACAAAGACAGAATGTTGAGGAGGAGGACAGAGGAAGAGGAGGATGGAGGAGTCTGTGAAGCCTAATTACTTATGTTTGAAGCGCCTGATAGTTAATTAATCTACAGAGCTATTGTGTTATTTTAGAGGAGCACTTGATTGGCTGAGTTTTCAATTAGCATGCTAACAGAGTGGGAGGGACCGCTCTGTGTATTATGACACGCGTCTCAATCCGCCAATAGCACTGAGACCAATCAATGCATGATAATGGGAAATCCTATACAGACTGGCTGAAAAGAAAGAAAGAGAGGCATTTTTTAATTACGGACATTTGAGAATCACAATTTTCATACACTGATTAGCATATGAAAAATGCGGGTAGCTTGTTGTCTGATGGGATTTCTTTTGGGTCACAACAAATAACAGGATTAATTGATTATAAGGGATTATATTAATATTATTACTATTAATATTAGAAAAGATGTGTAATTTGGAAATTCAACACTTCGCATTGTAACTGAAGATATTAATTAGAAAGAGTTTCATTAAATATAGGGATGCACAAATCTAAAACTGGTACCAGATATTGGTTCCAAATTATAGGTTCAGCCAATATCCTGGTTGGACATACTGTATAAATCGATGTAATAAAACTATTTACTGAGTGTAGTCGCCCAAAAAGTTTCATAATGTAAGAATTTTATTTATACAAAGTTGTTATGTTGTTACCTGAGTGATAAATAACAAGCTACTTCACACATTTGGATATGTTTTGTCTCATTTTAATTTAGTTTTAAGGACATAAATGCTGTTTTCAGTCTCTCAGTGGTATTGGCTGATATTGGGTATCTGCAAATACTTAAAACTGTAATATTGGAATCGTATCAGAACTAAAAAAGCTGGATCGTTGCATCTTTAATTAAAAAATTATCTAAAACATTATTCATTGTGTGATTTTGGAGTAAGATATATTGCTTTATAAACAGTTATTACAAACAATAAATAAACCTGGGATTAATGAAATGTTCATATACTGTTGCTTATTCAAAAATCGTAACATCTCAAAAGGTTTTCATCAGCCCACGTTTGTAATGCAGGTAATATGATCCAGGCTGATCACGTTAACATTTTCCTTGCTTTACAGTGTCAGAATTTTTTTTAACCTTCACTAGCATCTGTCTTATGTCCAATAGCATTATTCCAAATAGGCGCTCTCCACTCTCTCTGTATGCCTGTGTTAATTAAAGGCTGTCCGGTTCCAGTGGACTCCTCATGCTTGCTGTGGAGAACAAATTGTCCTCCATTGTGCTGTGCCTCTCCCAGGGACAGGACAAATTAACCTTTGACCTCTTCCAGCAGCAGCAGGAAGGCACTTCCAGATAAGCTGTCCCAACAGTTAAACCAGGACATGGAACAAGACAGGATTTGGACACTCACCCAGAGCGGTCTGTATCTGTGATATCAGCCAACTACAGCTTTGTAGTGGGGTGAAGACAGCATGGATACCCAATACTTTAGCAGGTTCTGTACTATACTACTACTAGATATATTATTTAGCCTACATTTACTGAAAAATACACAATTTGTTGTATGTAGTTGTGTGTGTGATGAGTGTGGAGAGGTTGTGGGAGGATTTTTTTTGTCTTTTTTTTTCATTATGTATAATTTAAAAAAGCATCCTTCACTCTGGGGCTGGGAATCGCAGGGCCTCTCATGATTTAATACGATACATGCGATAGTTGATATATTGCATATGATATTGATACCGTTAAACCACCACTGGACGAAAAAGGAAGACTGATATTTTGAATCCCGCTCCAGTGAGAGTGAGAGATGAAAGATCAAGATACCACAAAAAGGCAAGCATGTCTCGGTCAGTCTGTCCCAGGGCAGCTATGACTACAGTGGTCTTGCCATCTATATAGTGGCAATATTTTGAGTTTTTCTTAAGAGAGAGAGAAAAAAAAAAAGACTGTTCGTGCCATTCGTGTTTGTGCTCCAGTCAAAGACAAGAGGTTCTGGCGCTGAGGCCGCAAAATCAATCAAGATGGGACTGATAGTATAAACTGACAGAACAAGGAGGCAGCAAAGCGTGATACAAGCAGATTAGAGAGTGTCTGAGAGAGGAGACGCCACAGCGTGAAGGAAGGCGGTTAGACAGGACTGACCCCTGGGTAACAGTTATAATCACATTAATTAGATTGGTCTTCTGAGCAATCTGATATCAAAAACATGACTGACCTTCATGCTCTTTCTCTGAAGTCCCAGTTTTCTTCATCTTTTTGGGGGTTTTCATGAAAAGGGGAAAGATGGTTCTCAGGCCCAGGATGTCCACAAATTTATGGCAGTTGTCGGCACCCTCGGGTCCTATCATTCCGTGGTCCAGAACTTTCAGAGCACTAGTTCGGGACATTTTCTTTTCTCTGAGGATTAAGAAATACAAATGAGACTGTTTTTTTTAACTAAAAGTGCATTATGTAAAGTTTCTGATGACGAGTCCTTCAAATGCTTTTCTCTATGGAGATGTTATTGCTTTCTCTGTAATGTTTCACATTATAGTATTAAACCTTTCTATCTTCCAAACTGCAACCCCGCTCAGTCAGAATGCCTCTTTTTTTTTTTGAGTATTTTTGAGCTTTAAAACCACCTGTAATTTAATTAAAAACATGCTTGAAGAGGTTTTAGATTTCATCCATTCATGTTTGAGTATTTTAGCAATCTCTACCATATTCAAACCTTCCTTAGGTTTACCTGTAAGATTATGTGTAAATAAACAAAAAATATGATAGGTGTTAGCAGATACTACCCCATAGAAGTAAAATATCCTCTCTTCAATGATATTAATGAAAAGATACAGATACTATACCAAATTTGAATGAGTCAGCTGAACTGGCTTGGGTAAATGTTAAAAATATGGATTTGTCTTATTGTAGACATGTTTTAAGGATAACATTAGTTTAGGGAAGTAAATACAGGAGCAGCTGTAGTACACAAATAATTCAATATAGTTCATTTGGGGAAAGAGAGGGCACTTATTATAGATTCCATTAAAATATGTTTTTCCGGTTTCTCGTTTCAAAGTGACAAATGACTATTAATGAAGCCAACTGTTACAATTAGTCTTCAATATCCAAAAAGACACAGATATTTTGCATCAGTTTGCAAGCTGGCTCATTATTATCAACTAAATCGAACCATGTGTTGTGCAAATCTGATCCTCATCTGTTTATTGTCATTAAACGATGGCAGGATGAGCAACACCAACTGTTCCTCCTCCTCCTCCTCCTCCTCCTCTTCCTCCTCTCCTTGTCTAGGTTCAGGAAATGTAGCCGTCTGTGCCATGTCACTTCCTCTGTTCCCACCAATGACAGATGACAGTGTTTATGTGGGAGGAGGGACACATATTTCAGCTGCTGAGTGTGCCTGTCTGGACGGATGTATTAAATATGATGGACGGCTGAAAGGGCCACAAGCAGCAATGCACTGTGTGTTTTGTGAAGGCAAACCAGACATCTGACATACTACACATTCACGTGGTCAATGTCACATGGAGCAATGCATGAAATATGTTTGCGAACAACAGTCAGTTCAGCTAAAACTAGTGCAAAATAGGTTCTATATTATGCAACATTTACATATGTGAACTTTTAATCATGTTAAAATCAATAACATACCTGGAGTTATGTTTTGTTTCATTCAGACATGTTTGAAGAATGGGTTATTATTAGTCTGTCTACATCTACAAAGCTAAAAATGCTCTGTTCCACTTTGTGATGGCAAGAAGCAGTAGTTTTAGTAGTTAACAGCTACTTTTTACCTTCAGTTCAGTAGAGATTAACCATTCCAGGACTGAAAAAATATGCAGGTTTTGTGTGTGTGAATGAAACAAAACACAACTCCAGGTTTGTTTTTGATGAGGAAACAATATCATTATAACAAAGATCAGAAATAAGCACAATATAAGCCCTATAAATGTGGTTAGTGAGATTGGATGCAAGAGAGTAGTAGTTGTTTAGATATGGTTGATGTTTTTGATAGTTAACAACATGGTCTATTTTAAAATTAAAGCTGAATTTAATTTATGCTGTACCTCTTTCTTTATTTTGTGAGTGTTCAGTTTGAAGGTCTTGCTTTTAAAAATTTATAAATACTCTACTCATGAAACAGAGTGTGACCCCCTAACTTTTTTTTTAATCAACACCCTTCACTGCTTTAATTTTATATGTGCTTTACCCTTAGATGTGTGTGTGTGTGTCATTATATAGGTGTGTCACGATAATTGCTATATCAACTTATCACTCAATAAATGAAAGTTGCAAATATATTTTGGGGGATCAGTATTTATTGGGTGTACTTTGTTGCACTTAAGCCATAAAAAGTTGAATTAATAACTTCTATGACTCATTACAGAGTCCAACTACTAACTACTGAGCTGTTTCATTCTGCTGTTTATTTATAGCAGCTCATGATTTTTTACAATATTGTAGATTTAGAATAGTTTCGTGGTTTAAATCTGTTCTTGGGTTTTTGTGTTCATGAAAAAAATGTGTTTTAATATTATCATTTATCGTCTGTATATTTACTTCAGCAATATATCGCACTTCAAAATTTGTTATCGTGACAGTGTGATTTGTTATGTGTTGTGTAGACATTGCTCTATCTGAAGCTTAAGTGATGTTCTCACCTGAGCATGAGATTCATGAGCTGAAGTCCCTCCCCTTTGAGGAAGCGGTCTCTGTTACTGGGCAACATTAGACATGAACACAGAGCATCAAACAGGTTTTCCATCATTTCCTGCTCCTCCGCTGTGGACGGGTTGTGACGTTTGAATACCTGAACAAACACATTCAGTGTTACTGTCAACATATTTACACCGTGTTGTTTATTTATTTATTTTTATTGTTGTTTAGCCCTTTGGTAAGATATAATTGTTTTAAAGGTGCTTTATAGATAAACTTGATTTGCTTCAAAATGACTGGATTTTAGGATTTTCAAGACTTTTTGTTAGACATCTGCATAAGGCAATGTACATTACAGAGCAAAATTATTACCAACATAGGTAGTTTGACAAAGCTGACATGAACTGCGTTCTGTTTTTTGTTTTATTTTTATTTACACATTTATTTGGAAAAAAATTAATAAATAAGAAGAAAAAGCTGTTAAAGTTCTTTATGGTAGGCCAGTAAATAAAAGTTGATAATGAATATAATGAATTTCCTAAAATGCCCAATAAGGTAAATAGCATAATTGTAATGCTAAATTAAAGGCTGATTAATATATGACTGCATAAATATCATTTGAAACTTTTTCTATTGTTATAATGATGGTTTCCAGGGAAAGAGCAGTAATTACACAAAAGAGGTGGTATTATGCAAATACAACTTTAAGCTGCATTCTACCATTTTATAATTTTGTTTCCTCATCAAAAACACACCTGAAGAAGTTTATTATATCATCCATGCATGTTTCAGTGATTTTGCGATCGCTCCTGGGCACTACAGTATACCTTCTTGCAGTTAGCAATATGATTGTCCATAAAAGCACGATCCAAAACAATACACCACAACTTTTCAAACCTGATGTGATGTGCAGCAGTTTCATTACACGGCTTGTGTTGTGATAACTCTGAAAGGGGGGGGTGACTTAGCAAGGCAAGCAGGGACTCAAAGCATCAAATACTAAATTGAAACTAATTAAACATTTACATTATAGCATTATAGCAGAGTATAGCATTTTCAAAAAAAAGTAACATAGTGATCTAAATATGTTAGCAGTTAATAGACTCCAACAGATGCGTAATACTAATAATAAGATCGTCTTTAAAAGGTGCATTGTTTAACTTTTCTGGTGGAGAGTCCGATGTTTTTCTCCATGTAGATGTTATAGCTTTGTCTGGAATGGTTCACAGTATCTTCATGGAGAACAAACCAGGTCACGTCCACAGTCAGAGTGCCAGTATTTTTAAGCTATAAAAGCACCTGTAATTTAATAAATATACAGAAAAGCTGTTTAATGTCATATTGTGAAACATTCCAGGCAGAGCAATGACGTATCCATAGAACAAGCTCATGACGGGTCCCCAATCAAAAAGTTACAAAGGCCACCTTTAAAAAGTGTCTGAGTACTTCAACAGAAACAGTGGTATAGAACTAAAAATAGCATGATTGTCTAAACCACACAAGGACTTACGGACAGTTGCTGGAGCAGCACATCGATGCCGTCCATCTCCCCCAGCAGCTCTCTGGTGTCTGGTTTGAGAGGAGACAAGAAGCAGAGGAGGAGTGTGAGCTATAAAAACTGAATAACAGGACAATAGGGAGATTCAGAGAAGACGCCTGCCAACATTTCAGCCATTTACAGAACAGCGGAGACTGCAGAGGGGGCATTAGTGGGATACATGATGGGAGAAATGTAGAAAAACACAAAGTAAGAGGAGTTTAAACAGTGACAAATGCATTGGTCATAAGGGAGAAACAGAAGATGAGGTGAGAAGAGGACAACACATTTCTTCAAAATAAAAAGTATCCCATAAAAACAGAAGGAAATACATTAGGCTTTGGATTTTTGTGCACCCAGGGGAAACTTTCAAATGTGTTGAGTACTACATAACGTGTTATGAAGTGTTGGTTTTCCCAGATGGGTAGTAAGATTTACAAAAATCATAATTTTATTTGAGAAATAATAGCGTGCTAGTAATACAAAGGCAGAAAGCCTCAATATGTAGCTAGAGATAAGCATGACATGGTTGCCTGGTTGTTCAAATCCAAATTATAGTAAACCGTATGACACATTGCTCCTAACTACAGACTGGGGAACATTGAGTATTGTGGAGTAAGACTATGCATTTGAAAACTGAAGCTATGATTCAACCCACTGAAAAAATCCCATGAACTACCCATGTCCTGTTTATTATGATATGTATGAATATATTTCATGTTAGTCATTTTAATAATTACTTCACTTTTGATAATTTCTCATAGATCAAGGACAGTATATGAATGGACAAAGGCAGTAAAAATACCAGTCAAATGAGGGCTAAGCAGCTTGCCTTCACTGAATATCAATGGGGCTTGCAGCATTAATGAGAGCTTGTCCAAGGACCTGACAGCCCTGTGGCTTTGCTAGAATTTACAAGCTTTATTTAGGCATCCACCTGAGAAAAAGACAAGGAAACAGCAGAAAAGATGTCCAAAATAAGCAATAGGTAATGGGAACAGAGTAAAACAAAGAATACCAAAGGCGATGGATTCGTAATGTGTACAGGGACAAAATGGAGGCAAGAAGAATAGGCTATCTATGTTTTATTAGCCCCTCAGTGAGAAGCCCAAAGCACACTTACCATCATTGTTTTGTAGCAGAATAGCCAAGATTTCACTGCAGTACAGCTTGTTAGCGTCAAACGGCATCTTGGCCTGGAGAAAGAGTAAAACAGACCAAGTTCCAATTACCACATGTAATGTCCTGCACAGAGTGTGTGTGTTATAAATAGACCAAATTGTTTTATTTGTTCATAAGGTAAGGCGTTCAAATATGTTTAACAAGAGCAACAATAAAAAAATTTTTTTGTTAAAATGACCATTTACATGTTGCTGCGTATAGTATGTTTTTAGTCTGAGACAGAAGTAGTAGTGGTGGAACTGCACAAATGTCAGAATAAGACACCACAATTACTGTGCAATTACAAAGGAGCAAGACTGACTTTTATGAGCTTCTGATTATGTTATAATTTCTCTCAACACTTATCACCAAATTATTGTCCTGGATTTGAAGCTTGAAAATATCCAGTTGCAACTGTCACCTATTACTGCCTGTATGTGATATGTGTTTTTTCAGGCTATTTCTCTCTCAAAAGCCCTTACGACCACCAGGTATCCTCAGCAGAAGCTCTTGTTCAGAACGTGCAGCTTCAAGCCTCACCTTGATTCTTTTGAGCAGCCACTGCATGAGTCCCTGCTGAGCTGCCTCTGTGCACAGTCCTGGTCTGAACTCTGCCATGTTTTCGATGATTGCTAAAGGGAAAAACAACATGACTTTTACAACAACAAGTTAGATATGGGCTCAACTTGCAAGCATTTTTAAGATTTTGAAATCCTTACACAGTCAGTCACACAAAATATTATTTACAGATCAGCAATGTGTAAGTGTTGAATATAATGAGACAAATGGAGGAATTTGTTCATATGCAAAATTTCTGTTTCCTAACCTGTTGTGTGTAAAATAAGTTTTGCACCTCATTGTCATCTTTGAGGCATATTTCCTGGTTTCCACCTTTTTTTCCTCATGCCATGATGAACACCTAGTTTTTATCTAGCATTGTAGCACTGTAGCTACATGATTTTTATTTATTTTATTTTATTTTTTTGCATCACCAGCCCATATTTCTTGGAACTTTACACAATAGTTTCTTATAGTAGTTTATTTAAAATTTAATGTCTAAACAGCTATGCATTTGTGATATTAATGCATCATTGTATATAATTTTATGCAATTTTAGTTTTAGTCGTTATTTATTTGCATTACTTAATTTCTTTCATGAAGGTAAAAGATCTTATATTATGCAGCTCTTATATTATACAGAACTTATATTATGACTCTTGTAAACTTTAAGTCATGTTATACTACAGGTATTGTACCTGAAAGGCTGAAATTATCCAAATGATTCTAGTAAAGTTTGTTGAGTTTAAAAGTGGAGCACTTCCTGTATTACCACATGACATCACAAGGTGATGTGTGTTTTTACTTTGAGAGAAGCACTCAGCCTAAATATGTAAGATTTATGTGTTAAATGTGTGAATTCACGTATTTTTTTGATGAGGAAACATTATAACATAAATAACAAAATATCTTAATATGGGCCCTTTCATTTGTTTTATTCTTTATACTACAACAGCTATACTGTTAGTCCTTGGTGCCTTCTCACCAAAACAGATAGGCCTTTCAAAAACACAGACCACCTGCCAAAGTCTTGGGAAATTGAAAAAAGAACTGAAGCAAAACTTATTGAAAAAATGAAAGAGTAAAACAAAGGAGTGACATCTGGAGTGAGGCTGAGGGAGGCAGTGGGAGAGCGTAGCTGTAGACGAGTGCTGGGGGAAGGCCTTTATCGGTGCTTCACTGGGAGCGGCCGACAGCAGCTCAGAGCAGGGAGCAGCAGAACAGCACAAAAGGCTTATTCAGGCTTGGAGAGCTCCCTCGATAACGCTCTCAAACTCAAACGGCTGAATAAGGAATGCACCGCTCTCTCAATGTATAAGCGCACACCTAAAGAGCCCTCCTGATGCCAAGCTTCAATCTGGTAATAATAAAAAGGAAGAATCAGCTCAGTGGAGTCGATGAACACAAAAGGATGGGAGGAAGAATACCAGAGAGCATCACTTTAGGCTCACCTATGTCCTTGAACAGACCTCTGCATTCACACTTTATTTCATTTCATTATTAATAGAAAACAAATCACCTTTATGTAAAATACAACAACATAATATTATTGTTTGAAAAAGGAGTAAAATGTTGAGTAGATACTTGGGTTGTCAAAAGTATCAAAAATACAAATTGATGCTAAAACGATTATCGAAATATACTCATTTGAGCAGGAATGTATACGCCCACAGACCACTATGGAGCCTAAATGAGGGATTACAAATATAAGGCCACAAGATAATATAATAGAAAGTGGTATGGTTTAAAGTTGTTAATATAATTCTGTTGTCTGACAATATTGTCATTGTGGTATCGGAATCAATATTGCATATCAAGTTTATTCCTTAGTATTGAAAACAAGTTTGAACTTTTAGTTTCATAACAACACTAGTGTCAGCATCTTGGTATTGTAGTAAAAAGACAAACATTTAAAACAACTGGTTCCATTTTGAGATGAAGCTGGCTATACGGCAGTTTTGCTTCACACTGATGTCAATAATTGTCCCTTATTTGTAATTTTGTTTAATTCATTGGGGGTAATAATTATAACTGTAATACAAAAAAGTTATTAACTGCATAGGTCTATCTAAAACTTTATAGTACCTCTAGCATCTTTTACCAATAAGGCAGGCTCCTCCAATGCTCCTCTACTCTAAAATTCATGTGCACTTAGCATTGGACGGTTTTGGGCTTATTTTCCGTCATTTTTCCAAAACTATGAAATAAAAATTTCTTTTGCCACTTCCATTAGGATTTCCAACAAGGCAACGATGCACTGTTGGTTGTTGAGCAGTGACAGGGCCATTTTTCACTGGTGGCTCTGCTTTGTTTTGTCCCACTCAGTGGACTGGGACTTGGTTCAAAACGCGATGCATGTTTGAACGCAGCCTGCCAACTACTCATCGGTGTGACTCGGCAGAACTTCAATGACTCTGGACAGCTCTGTCGGCCATTGTTCCCTTATGTTCATATTCCAGACACTGCATTGTTTTGATGAATAAGCTGTGTACACAATGCCTATTTTTGGCATAATGAGGAACCAGTATAGAGTTATTAGTTGTGATGTAAAAATAACCAAATCACAGTGATATCAAATTATCAAAAGTCTCACAATAATACCGTGGGCCATGATAGTATATCGAATTATTATTATTATTATTATTATTAAGTTTCTTTGCTTAAATTCATTGTAATGGTGCAGCAATAGTTAAAAAAGACAGAGAACTACATAGACCATGATCCTTTGCTCTGTTTCAGTCCAATCTACATGTACTTTTAAATCTTAATTATTTGGATTATGACAGAAAAGTCATATATTCACAGTTTTGTTAGCCTCCACAAAACATTGCACCATAGGATGAATATCACGAAAATATCATATTGAGAGATTTGGATATTGTCTTAAGCTCACCCAGTGTGTTGTAGACGCCATCAGCCTCCTCCTTCACAGACTCATCCAGACGCTCCATATTCTGTACCAACAAAGCGACCACCTGACCCTCCAACTGCAAATACACATACACCACGGCAATGCTCAGAAACTGTGATAAAAAGTGATAATGATACAAATTTGCAGTGGAATTGCTACTTGTTTAACAAGGGGTCTTTTACTTCTATGGGGTATTATTAACTGCTAACACATAACATATTTAAATCACCGTGTTACCTTTTTATTGTTTTGAAAAATGCTATATTCACCAAAAACAAAGTATTAACATGTTTTGTAGGTTTCACTTTTGTTTTTGTTGCTTTGACTCTCCCCTCTCTTTGGTCCTCCTTCAGAACACTATCCCACTAATAAACCTACTGCACATCAGGTCTGTGAAGTTGCTGTATACAGTTTTGTATCATGTTTTTGTATATTTACCTAGAATTGCCATGTGGGAGCATAGATGACACAGGCTTAACATCGTACAGAATTTTACAGTTAACTATAAGAAGGGTTTGAATAGGGCCCTGATCAAGAAAAAAGACGGAATTCTAAGGCATAACAACTAGGCAGGTTAAAAAAAAAAGAATTAAATAGTAAATTATCAAAAATGCCCAAGTTGTAATTTAGAAAGCTAGTTCAGATGGGTTGTGTTATTTGAGGCATTTTTGTTTCTTTATTGCTTTCCCTTCTGTGAAGCTCTCAATGCATTTCTAAAGCAATATTGTAAATGCTCACAAGTCCATTTCACTCTCACTCACCCTCCTCTTTACTTTTGTTTTCCCCTCACTAATAACCTATACTTTCCAACCAGCCAACACATCCTGATCGTACCATTAGGCTCGTATAAAATAAATGAAAGTGGTTTCTCTTGCAGATGTCCATGTTGGCACAGGACGAGTCAAAGTGTTATCACTCAAGTGAAGATTGGGCTCTCTTAACCTATCAGAGGTGGCTGGGAGCTGGCTGTCGGGATAAAAGTCCCATTACAGATGAGAGAACAGTCGGACCGTCGGCGCAGATTTATGAGGCACAGAGAGAGCGTCCCGGATCATTTGATTCATCTTATCAAGGAGACCACCTGGCCTTCTGGCAACAGGGACTGACAGCTGGAAGCATTACAGCGCGCCACAGAGACAAATGGATTCAGCAGAGTCTTGCAGCCTGTGAGCGTGGCCACCGGAAACAGTAGCTCACAACAATGTATTTATAGGTGATTTGCTGTATTTAATATTGGGCTGGAATGACATGTAGGCCTGTCATAATAACAAATTTTGCAGTGCGATTATAAATGATAATATTGAAATCAAACCATAAAGCAGAATTATCTCCAAAAGTATTCTGTATAATACTGTTAAATAATACTGAGTTGTATAAATAAATAGCAGAATGCAACACTTAAGTAATTAATTTGTATAATTTTAGCTAGTAAACTCAAAGAAAAAATCCCCCTAATAAATACTGACCCACAAAAACTATTGTTCCATTTATAATGTGGAATGATAAGATATTATAACAATAACCGTAACAGCTCCAATGACATGTCAAAGTGGAACAAAACAGTAACATTTTTTTTTTTTTTCTTCACAAACTGTATATAGGGTATTTTAATAGGATTGTCTACTGTTCCTAGTGCTTTATGGTAATTTTAGAGCAAACTAGGTTAATTTGCCCCTTTCTGGTCAAAACTGTATAAAAATGCGACAGATGTTACTGATAACACCCGGCAGTAGCGGAAGAGTTAAAAATGTTAGGCCAATATCACTCTTTCTTATATCTCTTGATCCCATTTGAACATTAGGACTAACAAACAAACTTTGGGGGTGATAAAATAAGCAAAAATCACTAGATTTTAGACACCTATTCAACGCAGTTACTATTTTGTAGATAGTAACCATAATATGTTGTTGAGTCCATGTTCTGGTTAAATACAGCAAGTGGCGTTTTCTCCACATGCATGTTAAATATGACAGATTCTGGGTGTCTGTGTTTTGGTGATTAAGGCAGTAAACAACTCCAAGGACAGGATTGCAGCTTGCCTTCCCAGTCGTGTTTGTTTTGAGTGCTCCTCTTAACCAGATAAAATGCACTGGAGTGTGTGGCCCACTGTACAAGTGGTCTCTAAGAGCAGCCACTTTTCATCAACCTCCAGGCACCACCCTCTCTCTGCATTTATCACCCGCTCACAGTCTGTTTGTCCCAATGAAAACACACAAGCCTTGTTTTGGATTTACTGCACGACCTCTGTTCAAGTTAAAAGCTCTCCAACTTTAGATAATGTGAGTAGCCAAGAAGGAGTAGACTGGTTCTTCTCAGGTCACAGGTCAACAGCCCTGTGGTTGCTTGAGAGCGTGGTTGGTGGTATGAGAGGCCAGTGGCGCAGATTGGTAGGCCTTTCACAATATATACTAACGTTCAGTATATAAAGGTTGGAAAAATATATTTTTGAGGTCAGTGTTGTGAGTGCATTTTCTTTGCACTACTGAAAAATTTGATCTATTTTTGACTATATGATAAGATTTAAGCAGTAAAAGGTTGAATAAATAATTTCTATGATTCATTACAGATTCAAACTAAATACAGTCTGTTGTTTATTTATTGCAGCTCATGATTTCTTAATATTGTACATTTACAATAGTTTTTGGGGTATAAATCTTTAGTGTTATTGTGTTAATATCATACATTTGTTTCAGTATTGTTGTTTATTGTCTATATTTACTTCAGTAATATATGAAACTTATAAAAATGTGTTATTGTGACAGGCCTACAGGAGTATCTTACCACAACCAAGAGGGAGAAAATGAATAAAGATAGTGTAGTGCTTTGAAAGGCTTGTCAAGCTTATAGTGTTCTACAAATGTAAGGCTTTATTATAGTAACAATGGTGCATTATTCTTATATAACCTTGGCAGTATACTTAATCTAATATAGAGCCTACAAAGACACTACCCACAATGCCTGTCTGCATCAATAGATACTGAAATATTTATTATACAGAATGCAGAAAGCTGTGGACAAACTTACACAAGCACAAACTTTATGATCAGACATCAATCTTGCAGCAGTGAGAGACCAATAGAAAGTGGTTCCTTCCTCTATTATACGTATATCTCCACATCACTGTAGTTTGACCTTTGTCTGTGTTGCTCGAAATGTCAGCAAACACAACTGGGCATTAGAAATCAGTGAATCAGACAGGCCACCATGGCAGACTGGGGAGAGCAACTAGACAATAATGAAGAATATAAAATAAGGGACTTTGTAAATGTGTGAATTTTATGAAAAGGTCAAACAAAGGTTGCCATCTTTGTTGATTGGCTGGAGACAGCTTTAATCCCATCAGTATGCGTAATATGAGACTTTAGAATACCAGAATGAGTTTCCCTAAGTGCTACCAGATCGATGAAATGCAAATGCTGAACTCACCAGAGCATCGATGAGGACCTCAGCTCCCTCCTCACTCTCGTGGAGGGTGTCGATATCTGTCAGCTCCTGCAGCAGGTCCACCACGGCTATGGCCACATGTGAAGAAGGTCAAGGAGTAACACAGGGCTCAGACTGGGCACATTCAACAGCAAAAGATGGAAAAATGGATAGACTAAACACAAAACTTGCTTCATTAAAATACCTGGCCTAATAAGCCAGTGTGTGATGAGATGTAGTCTGTAGAGAGCTATATGACATGTAAGGCTGCAAAATGTATCACAACTAAATCAAAATCATAATGGCTGCAATTTTTTATCACACAGATTGCCATAAAAAATATGTATACTAATGTGTTTACTAGACCTTTACACACATTAAAAATCATGGAATTTTTGTATTAGTTAATTAGTAAATCCTCCAGGAGTTGTTTACAATGTGTACTCTGACCAGAAGCCAACATTTTAAACAAATATTGCAAATCTAATCATGCCTGCAATTAGATTTTAAAATCTAAATTTTTTGACAAAACACCTAAAACACACACATTATTCTGTGCTGTTTATTTGACGTTTAGTCCAAAATTCTCAGATTCTTAAGTTTAAACAATAGGTCTATAAGCATAGTATTCAATTTAAACCATTCAAATTTGGCCAACAAGAAAAGAAAACTTCCTGACAATCAAGTAGAGAGAAAAAGGATATCAGTGTTTTCGTGGCTGAGTAGGCCCAGCAGTGAGTGGACAGCGTTCAGCTCAACAAGCAGATGGTACAAGTCTGGCATAGTGGCAATCACGTGCATCTCCTGGATAATGTCATTCAGATCCAACTCTGACTCCATGAACCTGGGCAAGAAGAAAATACTGTCTCAAAAATGTGTAACTTAGGCAGAAACGCACTTAAGTATTTTAATCGCTATTTGAGGAACAACATTTGGAAATAATTATTTGTCTCACACTTGTTATGAAGGACAATGACACCACAGACTTGCGGAGAGGCTAATCAGCCTTAAAATCAAGCTCAATATCTTAAAGGTTTACTGCGTAACATTTCCAGTGGAGAGTCAATCACCTGCTTATCTCCATGAAAATGTTATTGGGAGAGAATCAGGTTACAACACCACGCTACATTACAATTCAGATCTGTGGAAAATCTCCCCTATTCACAGAAAGAATTATTGTATTGAGCAATAGAAACAACTGGAATTAATACATTCTAGATGGATATATTTAATGTCAACATCCCAGGCAAGGCAATAACATCTCCATGGAGATAAGCAGGCAGTTCCACCCAAAAGTGCAGTGCACCTTTAACTTGTGAGTGCCCAGCCTTACTTTGGCATTGAGCTGGAAAAGCCAAGTGGTCACCTCAATGTTTAACAAGCTAAAAAAGCATTTGATAGAATCATTTGTGTTCACTATTCAACATTAACAGTCAAACTAAAGTTATCGAATGTGATCACCAGTATGTTGTATTGAATATATATTCCCAGCCATTACATGATAGTAGTTCTGAAGCTCTTATTTTAAGGTCATACAGTGCTCCTTTAATTATACAGTAGAAATGGACAGAAACTTTTAGTGTGTGTGACCCTAGCGGACTGAGACAGCGCTCGGGGAATGGTTAATGGCCATACTTCTCTGGGTTGTCCGGAAACTTAATCCTCAGCTCCTGGTTTTTGTAGGACCTCTTCTCAAAGGTCAGAATCATTTTCTTCACTGAACTCTCGTCCACTGGCTCGGCCTGTTCGATTGAACCAGACAAAGAGGCAAATATAGTTAGAAAAGTTACAAAATAATGTTGTTACTACTAAAAATGATAAACTTGCTAAGGAAAATGCTTGATATTCAGGAGGAATTTTGATACCACAGTGATAATTATAATAAATAGAATCATAGCTTTCAACATAAAGTAATGGCAGTTTAATATGACCATTTAGTCTTGTACTAGTTCTGTTTTCAAGACCATTTTAAAACCAGGAATGGTCAAATGTCCTATTTTCCATATTGATAGCTCCTCAACTCAGAAAAAAATTACAACCTACAATTTCTACAGAAATTGTGTAATGTGTATTAATGGCCGTGTTAGTTGGACATAAAGTATAGATGACTCATCATCAGCAAGATTTCTGAAACCATGGAGAATCATCTGGATTCTTTAGTATTTTGTTTTACATGCCAAATAGTGAAATGACAAAAGGCAGAAAGGAAAGTGGCATGAAATGTCAGATTCTACCATGAAAGACAGATCTTAGCCAGTCTAACGGACTCCTACAGCCTTAATAAGAGTGCATTACTGAGCACGGAGAGTGGGTCTGACCTCCCGTTGGGTTAAAAGCCTGAGGAGAGCGGCACAGATAATGACAGGTTAGGAAATGACATTATAGAATAGTACAGCACTTTGCTTGGAGTGGCTCTTGACACTGAAAGGGCTGTGGGTGGGGTATAAAACAGGGTGATAGATCTGCTCACTTTTATAATGCATTAAAGAACAACTTAACAATGTCACCATGGCCAAGTCAGTGAATATAGAATAAATATATGTACATCTTTAGCAGTTTGTGTCTAAGACATGTTGCAACAGTTGAAATCACCTGTTACAGAAAGCTCTCACTTAACTCAGCACAGTAACCTGACAAGTCCCTTCAGAAGCAATGCTACCAGGATCTGAACCTGAAGATGTAGTGATTCAATTAAAAGACTTTACTGCACCTCTGGATCATCTTCATCCTGGTCCAGAAGTTTCTCTAAGATCTTGTTCCGGTGTCCAGTGTCCTCCTCAGACTCCTCTTCTGTCTCCAGCTGTTCTCTGTGTCTGTGCAGCTCTCTGCTGAGGGTCTTTTGGTGCTTCACTCTCACATCATCTCCTCCAGTGGCCCCTCCATCCTTGTTCCTGGGACGCTTTGCTCCTCTGTCAGGCTATATCAGATTGTTAGATTAAGTACTTTAATTATTGCCCCTTTCAAGACACTATTTCATGGGTCACTTGGGCTGTTGTTGACTAAAGAAATTCTTGGTTGACTAAAGACATGTCCAGCCAGTTGATTAGTCATCTACAAAAGGGAGCATCACAAAATCTCAAAACTATGGATCAGAACTATACTACACGTACAAAACTACACCTGCAAGAGTTCACGTGAAAACAACTATGTAATAAATAGTATGAGACAATGTATTTATATAAATGCATATTAAACTTGTAAATCATAAATTGAATCTGCATTATTATATAAATACCAAAAAATACCAAATATTTAGCTCACTCACCCTCTCATTTTTCTCTGCTATTCTACCTAACAATCACAATAAAATTATTTGTCAATTAATACAAATTTTGGTCAACTAAGACACCATGAAACTTTTAATCAATTTAATGAATAAAGGTTTACAGCCCTAGTGCTAATACTAATAATACAAATAATAATAATAATACAGATAAATAATACAGATAATAAAACAAAGCCCTACACTGTGTCGCTGTATTCATTGACTCACTCCATACTCAGTGACGGTAAGAACTGAAGCTGCCAAAACTGATGGAAATAAGGCTGAAAATGTGTGCCATCTGCCCTCCAACCACCATCAATCGCTCACACATCACATTCTCATAAACTACATGGGTGAAATGTTTTGCCCAAAGACCGGTCAATTCCACAACTTTGAATAGAAAACCAGAATGTGAGCCTAAGACTGTAACTGCATTTGTCCACAGACAGTTGTAAACAGATTATGCTGTACGCAGTCAGGGTTTGTGCAGTGAGTGAGTATGAATCAGACCTGTATTTACTTCTTATCTCTGTGTACATGTGTTAAATGTTACATCCTTTTGTTGTGTTTTATGAATTGTATGGCCTGTGTGACTTAGTCCAGCAGGAAATCACTTTTGGCTACAATCCTACATATTTATCACATGTTTATGCATTTCCTTCTTTTTAATGTGCACTTACTCACTTTAGTAAGTAAATAAGAATACTGTGTGTTTTAGTTCAGAGTTATGAATTACACCAAAGAGGAACATCAGAGAGATGCAAAAACATTTAAAAAATTCATAAAATACGTGTAAAGAGACACAAAAATGTAGCTACTATGCTATACACTCATGCTCTGAATATTTTTACAATTCATCAGAAACGTGCCTGCAAATGCCTTGAGTTCTGTTCTTATTTTACTCAGCTCTTTTAGTTGATTCTATTCGCCATACCTTAAAATGAACTATTTCTATATCTTCTGATATACTGACGATATATCTCTCAACTAGCAGTAGTAATCGCCTATAAAATGTAATTACTACTAGTAGTAAGTAAATGCCTTCACAATATTGTAATTATGGTAATAGTAACAGCCATTAATTGAAACCGCTATGACACAATATCTTTATGACAAAATATAACACATTGGAGAAAATGGAATCAATGCAGCATTTGCCACTAAAATATTTTCATAATGCCTGCATGTGAATGTTACAGCAGCAGTATGAACACTTCAAGTCCATCTGTCAGTTCAATATGTTAATTTATCTGAATAAAAATATGCAGATATTGTTGATTTTATGAATCAATATCAGCAGACTGTATATAATTGCTGACAGCTGAGTGAGACTCCCGTGCTGGCGAAAAGCATTCTTTAGCTTTCCGCCCGTGAGCATCACTTACCTGGTAATTTAGGAGCTCTCCGACATCCATACTATCAAGCAGAAAATTTCAAATGCCAAAATTTGTGAAATAATGGAGCGCGCAGAGTAGTTTCGCGGCTAATGGCTAACAACAACCGTGCCTGCACATGAGTGCCGTAAAGCGCATTACTTTCTGTCGTAACAAGACACTGTCGCAAAGAGGGGAAAAAAATAGATTATTTTTCTTTCAGTCATTCAACACACGTTTTTTTATTATCATTATTAATATTAATCACTCTAAATAAGAAAAGTGTTACTATAATATTTTTCTCAGGTTTACATTTTAAGTTTACATAAACAGCATAATCTAAAAACAGTAGGTATAATCATCATGAGAAACAATAGTCAAGTGTTAGGTGCCTTACTTTCCTGAGTAAAAGCCTAAGTTTGCTTATTTATTTATTTTTTTGTTTGATTTATTTGTTTGTTTGTTTGTTTTTACAAGGAGATGAAAATAAATAAACATTTATTTGATAGAATAAAATAAATAAATATTTATTTATTTTCATCTATTTTCATCTCATTTATTTTGTTTATTTATTTATTATTTTTACCAGTAGATGAAAATAAAGAAATAAATGTATGATTCATATAGCATTTTAAGGTATGGTTCGTATGTGGGACTACAACAGAGGAAGGTCAACCAGTCTAATTTCTACTAATATTTTATATTATTTATAATGTATTTTACATACATATCCTAAAAGAGAGACAAAAATTGGTTATTGCAGAACATTTAGGGTGAAAGCTCAGAGTCCATAGCAGAGTACGTTGAGTGTCTCGCTACAGTCGCTTGGTTCTATGATTGGCTCGGAAACGGAGGACTTTCTGTTTACCACCAGGGCTCCACAGTGAAGATTGGGCTCAGGACAGGATGGGAGATCAGGCAGAGAGTACACTCCCCCATTAGACCAAAACCAGGACCCTCCAATAAAGCGCAGACCCAGCCACACCTGATAAGTGAAATTTCAAACTTCATCATAATCCATTTTCATGATTGTGAATATTTTCAACAAAGAATCCCCTGCCACACACCAAGAAGGCTCTATTCAGAATTCCAGGGCTGGGTGGGCTTTTCTATGTTGAGTTTACATATTCTCCCTCTGCTTGTTTCTGGGTACTTTCCTAAATATGCATAAGAGGAACAAGACTATAAAGCTCAACATCTGGAGGAGGGTTCATGGACACTGTATGTGACAGGTTGCCTCAATGATACTGAAGGATGGGTCAGTTGCAGAGGACACATTTTCCTATAGGGATGGAGGAATTTGTTTCACAAATTTGTTGTTGTTAACTGCTGTGCTCAACAGATACCTTTTGATAATGGGGCACTTGTCTCCAGTCTATCTTTACCTGAAATAGAAACTTTCTGCATGTCCTTTTTCACTGGGCATATGTTAGACTTGCCTTGTCTGTGGTGGAGTTGCGAGCTAAGGACTGAATAGACTGCAAGTGAGATGTCTCCCCCCCGAGGAGCTGGTAAGAGCCAAAGAATGGGTGTGGAACATGAGATTTGCAGCGGTCGTAGGACTGTTCCCAAGTGAGAAGCTCTTGGATCAGCAGCATGTTGTGATCAGAGCACAGATAGGGGAAGGCCTCAGAACAGTTCTGGTATGACCGAGACTTATTCTGGGACCACAGACTGCCACAGTTATCTGGACAAAAAACATCAGAATTTCAGATTAGAGACTCATTCTCATTTTCAAGATCTCCATGTCAAAATTCATTTATTTTTATTTCCATTTTATGGTTGAATTAGAATGTTCAAATCAAATTAAAACCAGGTTATAACCTCACAAAACTATAAAATAACTCACCATAGTGGTAATATCCCAACCAAACTGGAAAGTTTCTGAGAGATATAGAATGGTGAAAGTAACCAGGACAGATCATTATCTTGTGTAACTGTAATGAATTCATAATTATGTTCTACACAGTATTCCTTTGGCCCCTTCCCATGTTTTAGCTTTGGGAACAAATATAGCGTTTGAGTCTTCGCAGTAGAAGAAGTTTAAGTTTCCACAGTCATCACCGAGAGGTCTAAGGAGAAAAGACAGAAAAACTATTAAGCTGCTTTACAAAATGCAACAACCCTAAGAAGTCTTAAGGTTTATTTTTGGGGCCTTCTTACAATAAATGAGAAAACCCAACTGGACATTTTTGCTTTATAGTAAATAATATTTCCATATAAAAAGTGGGAAATATTTATTTGTTAGAATAGAATCAAATACGTAGTGTAAGGTCACATGGGATTAATGTAAATGACTCACTAATTACAAAGAAGAGGTATTTATTTCTGTGGGGTAACTGCAAAAACATAACTTATTTAGATCACCATGTTACCTTTTATTGTTCTGAAAATGCTATATTCACTCAAAGAAATGTCATAACGTGTTTTATAAGTTTCATTTTCAAGTCTCCTTTCTCTGTGCTCTTCACCCTAAGTCACCTTCCCCCCAGAGAGCTATGGCAACACAATAAAAAATGCTTTGTAAATATCCCCTCTTAAAAATTATGAGACAAGGAAAACAAACATTCATAGATAATAGTGGATATAGATAAATAATAGACTTACGTAGCGGTTTTTAAAAAGGCCTTCCCACACTCCATGATGCCAGCTGGTAGGGCAAATGTGTCCTGAACCAACTGAACATCCCCATTGCCTTTGTCCCAGTGCCACTGAGAATCAGTTTTTCTGAGTCCAATCCATGCGTAGAAATTGACCATAGACATCCCGTCCACGTCCTTCACTATGTTTATAGCAAGATCTGCATTGTATTCACTGTAGGACAATAAACAATTCAACAAGTAGCATAAGTTAAAAACTATATTACACATTTTCTTATTTGTGTTATGTTGTTTCCTCAAAAACATCCCTCGATTTGTTTTGTTTCATTCATCAGCATCAGAATATTTAGAGTTCATAAGAGTTCTTCTCTCCTTGTGATGTTTTGTGATAATACAGGATTTGCTCCACTGTGTTTTTAAACTCCATACACATTCACTATAATAATTTGGATAAATTCAACCTGGAAATTGCCAATATCTAGTAAACAAATGGTAAATGGTACATGTTAATGACATCACAAGGTGAAACAGAGCATTTTGTGCTTTGGAGATGGGCCCGGTCAAGCAGAAGTATACAGCAAGGCCAAAAATTCAAGTTAATGCATCTGATATAAAAATGTATTGTATGTATTTTTGGTTCTAAAGTTACATATGTTTTAAACATACCATGTCACAGGTACAATTCTTAGGCCTTGAACAAAAATTATTTCCCAAATTTCAAAGACCTGCAAATCCTCTTCAGGTTAACTTTCAAGCTTCATCTTTGACTAATCTACATCTCTAGGTAGTATACTTATGAAAATTAAAACTATTAGGTGTTAGTATCTGATAAAACCTGTGTTTTACAAGTCTAAAAAAATTGTAATTTTCCCTCCCTTACTTTTCCCTCCGTTACCGAAAAAATATGTTTTTTTTAAGTTTTACATGTGTTAAATTTCATCATGAAACTTTCTAAAAGCAAGGATATTGATACTACTAAGCATTTCCTGCAGCAATCTAATGAATTCTGTTTCTACATATTTTTTATTTTTTATTTATTAATTATCATATTTTTTCCCTCCGTTACTGCAAAGGTAATGGAGGGAAAACAGTTCATATAGTAAGCATTTTCTACTGCATTCTCCCTGAATTATTCCATACATAGTGTATTGTTTTCATAATTATGGTATTGTATTAGGTTAAGGTGGTCTCTTTTTTAGCATTATCTGTAAAAATGTACAATATTTTGAGAAAACTCAGAAATGATAAAACATATGAGTGAAGTCTTTGAAATGAATGGCGAGTATAGTTTAATATCATGAATAAATTTATGTTTCAAGATTGCAGTTTGTTGTTTTGATTCATTATATTACCTTGACAGTGTTTGAATGGACCTGACTAGCACTGGGAATTTACATCTCGTAGCCATGCTAACCATGTGCAGGTGTGAGGTGTTGAAGCCACTACGTTTCCCTCTTTCCTTCTTGTTGGCATCTCAGACAGGGGTGGCTTCCCTGTCATCTCTGCCAAGCTCTATATCATCGTCGTCAACAAGGACTGTTCTATTGAGACTTACAGACTGTGACTTTAAGAGCGTAGTTTCCAAGTATGGAGACATGTGAACTGGAACTTGAATGAACTTTATAATCACTCTTGATTAATACTTTTTGCATATATCATATATATAAATATTGGTTCTTAAGGAAAAGTTAATCATGTAAATAAATTGATGTATTTCATCATATATTGTGTTATTCGATCTTTGAACTGTTGATGAAGGTACATGATTTTTCAAAAAAAAATTATTTAAAATCACTGTTGGGCAAGTTACTTTGAAACTGTAATGCGTTATTTATTACCTATTACTGTCATTTCAAAGTAATTCGTTACATTACAATATTACTGCATTTAAAATGTAAGGCATTACATTACTATTGCATTACTTTAAGTTACTCTCACCAAAATATCTTTTGCGCTGTATATGGACTGAACCAGGACTAAACCAGGTCTAAACCAGGACTAAACCAGAGCTGAACCAGGACTAAACCAGAAGTGAACTAGGACTAAACTAGAACTGAACTTGGACTAAAACAGGACTCACTGTAGGGACGGGCTCGAAGGTGACCGCAGGAGAAAGGAGCGGCTCTGCTCAGCACTTATTGCCCAAAAAGTGCTGCATATTTCATTCCCTCCGTTACTGACATGAGTTTTTTGTCAACAACTTGAAAGAATATCGCAGGTTTAACTTTACCCTGTTGGAGTGTTAACTCTTTCCTACATTCTAATACCTTACTTATTTCAATAGTCCCTCTGAATAAGAGCTATTTGAATGTAAAAAATCTGCCCCTGTTTCCCTCCGTTACCACTTGACCGGACCCAGATGTAAATAGACTAATAATAAAGAGTTATTCACATATGTATGAGTGAAACAAAACACGACTCTGGGTATGTTTTTGATGAGGTAACAACATTCTAACATGACTTAAAGTTCTCAAGAGTAAATTCTGTGTAATATATGACTATAATCACAGTTATGCCTTTATTAATTTATTGCTTATTAATGTTCACTC